ACATGGTCGGCCAAAGTCGAAGCGTATACGAAATTAAATGGATGAGACTAACCGTCCACCAAGCAAATGTAGTTGTTGTTGTCAGGAAGGACACAATAAGAGATCTTGTCCGTTTCGAACGGGCAGTGACTGGTAGTGGTCTTAGTTTATGTCTTATTTTAATACCATGTTGTGTGTATGTTTTCAATTAGGATATAGCTGACTTCTTGTTTTACATTGTGCAATGAACAGAGATCATGGAGAAACAGAGGGACCGCCACGAGCTGACCCTTCTGTCCTGACACTTCAGGACACCCATCGGAGCCATGACATATGGGAGCGAACAGTAAGTTTTCATCTACCAAATATTTAATGTTTTTTGGCATCTTTTTTGTTAACTGATCCAATAATGTATTTTTTTGTTGTTGTACAGGTTGATCCAGCACAGTGCTTACTTTGCAGGAACCACATTAGCAGGGGTGGTGGAAGATTGGGTCGTCGACCCGCGTGTGCTACATTACATCAATTTTGCGGGTTTTGGCGGATTTCATAGGATGGCCTTCACACCTATAGATCGAGCTCTAATTACTACGCTCGTTGAGAGATGGAGACGGGAGACTTACTCTTTTCGTCTACCAGTTGGGGAGGCCACCGTCACGCTCCGAGATGTGGCGATACTTACACGGCTCCCAGTTGGTGGTAGGGCAGTTACAGGACCCATTATACAGGACCCTCGTGGCCTTGTTGAGAGGGAGTTATGGGAGAGGCCTGAGGTCACCGATATTAGAGGCACAGGGTTGAGACACATATGGTTATGAGAGACATTTGGGGAGTTGCCTCCTGATGCTGATGATGGGGTCGTCCAGAGATACGCTCGAGCGTACCTGTTATAGGATCGTTATTTAGTAACAAGAGTGGTAGTCACATACAGTTGATCTACCTACAGCTATTAAAGAACAACTAGGAGGGTATACGTGACTACAGCTGGGGTAGTGCGTGTTTGGCGACCTTGTATTGGCATCTTTGCAGAGCATCCCAGAAAGATAGATGGGAGATCGGCGATCCCTTGATTGTGCTTCAGGTAGCCCTTTACTTTCATACCATTTTCTATCTATTACGTACTTAACGGTGGCTAGACTTAACTTGTGTTTTTTATTACAGTTATGGGCTTGGGAGCACATCCACGTTAGTAGGCCAGCTAGGCCTGCTAGCCGTCGACACAAGGAGGAGGAAGACGATCAGGAGCATGCATATGAGGCGCCGCCACTCCCTCCACCAGACTTGGCATACGGTTGCAGGTAAGTATGACTTATTGTTAAGTTTTCCACATATGGTTTTAATTTGCTATTAATTTCTCATGAACACTGTTATTATATACATAATTAGGTGGTTGGAGCGGAGACTTACTCGTGTGCATGCAGCGAGGGGTCTGCCGTATTACAAAGACGCATTCGACAGACTGAGCAAGTCTCAGGTGATAGTTCACTTTAAAAACTAATTTAACACCCCGTTCATTGTTTCAATAAGTTAATTATGATATTAACGACGGCGTGTTAATGCAGGTGACGTGGGATCCGTACGTCCCTGACCTAGTCAATGTCATGCCCCCATATCTTCATGATCATCAGATGGAGTGGCGTGCCATGACATTCCTCATCTGTTTTGAGGTAGTGGAGGCTCACCTCCCCGATAGAGTCATGCGACAGTTCGGCCTTTGTCAAGCCGTCCCTGCCACGTGTGACACGAGTGTCCAGTTGCACAGGACAGACCGACGAGGAAAGGGGGACGTGAACTGGGCAGTTCAGCATGCCCCTTTCATTGACATGTGGGATCAGCGGTTGCAGCACGTCGCGGATGGTGCGCCTTTTCAAGGCCTGATGGAGTATCACGATCCATACATGATATGGTTCAGGAACATTACCTGACGCTTCATCAACTCTTACTACACCCCACCCTCAACGCATTACCAGCCAGCTTTTGGAGACATTAGTGGATATGTGAGTTTTTGGTGAACATTTTTTTTTTTTCAATTTATAATTTTTGGTATTATTAAATTGACTTATTAATGACTAATGTAGGGCGTTTGATATGCTTTCTATACATGATGCACTGGAAGTCTTGAGCATATCATATCCCACCATATCGCAGATGGATGAAATTCGGGCAATGATTGTGAGTAGCTTACAAAGACATGGTCATGGCCATCTTATCCAGGGGCGGGACCAATCACACCGCCGTTCACACCGTGAGGTAGGCGACAGTAGTAGGGGACAGACTCACACGTCCCCTACATCGTCCCCGTAGTTTTTTGACAATTAGGAGGATATCGCCATACCCATGTCTGCGCCATACTCATCACAGGAAGGACCATCATCCAACCAACAGACTCCTCCCCAGACTTCTGCCCAATATCCTTTCACAACGGTATTAGGAGACCGCGAGTTGATAGACAACAATTACATAGAATAGATGAATCAGGATCTTAGAACTTCTTTTGTTAGTTTGTTGTAATTGGATTCTCTATTAAATTGTATCCAAACAAATATTATCAATTTTACTGACCTTTTTAATTGATTTTTCATTATCAACTTCACCATACGCATTCATTCTTTTCATTATACTGGTTGTTGCTGTTGTTGTTTTTGCTGATGTTGCTATTGTTGTGGTTGTTGTTGTGGTTGTTGCTGTTATTGTTGTGGTTGTTGTTGTTGTGGTTGTAGTTGTTGTTGTAGTTGTTTATGTTGCTATTGTTGCTGTTGTTGTGGTTGTCGCTGTTGTTGTTGTTGTTGTTGTTGTGGTTGTTACTGTTGTTGTTGTTGTTGTTGTTGTTGTTGTTGTTTTTGTTGTTGTTGTTTTTGTTGTTGCTGTTGTTGTTGCTGTGTTTGTGTGCAGGCTTGCTGTTGTTGTTGCTGCTGTTGATGTGTTTGTGTGCAGGCCAGGCTGAGTGTTGCAGATAAAAACCCCATTTAAGCTGGCGCTTTATGGCTGAGTGTAAAATGCCAACCATGGTGGCGTTTTTACCTTGGCTAATTTTTTAGAAAGTTCAGTTTGGGTAAAAACGCCACCCAAAATTGTTTCCCTTAGAGACTTACTTTGAGAAATTTTCCAAATTTAGCAGAACCATCAATAATTCAATATTATCATCCTTAATATATTAGTCAAGTAATTGTCTTGTAATGATTTAACATAATTTATGTCAAAAATTAAACTATGGATCATTTAAAAGCTGCTGAGTTATGTAATTAAACTTCACTTATCGATCACTTAGTTCCAAAATTAACAATCTGAAAAATGTTCCAACATACATTAGGTTGAACTTATTGATGGGCTTTAGCTTTAAGTTTGGACTTTCATAGGGCCCAATCAGAAGCTAAAATGATTGAGAGTGTGTCTATGTGGCCCAAACTCCAATGGCCCAATATAGGAAAACTCGTGATAAGCATGTATTCTTACACTCAAAACACTCACTAATTAAAAATAAATCAATTATAATTTTTCATTTATGTGATTGTACTTTTACTTACACAAAATTTTACTTATGATTTTAAGGGCATTTAAATTAATCTTATATGGAGTAGTTGTTAGGTGACTAGGGCTCTGTTTTTTGGATTAAATGAAACTAAACTAAGTTTAACCAAAAAAACAAATTATAATAATGAAATGAATGTTTTTGAACATAACTAATTTGAATATAATATGTCGAACTAAACTAAATTGAATATAATAGAGCTGCACTGAACTGAAATTCTAAAAAAAAAAAAAGTCCAAAAGAGTAGGGTCTGACAAGGTTGCTATTTAGAGTTTATAACATGCATGTAAGTTTTGTACAATACTCCCTCCGCATTTAAATAAGGAAAAATTGCATTAAATAATACCACATTTCACCCGTCCGCTAAAAACAAGTCGACCTTTTGATTATCTCTAAATAATATCACCTTTGGGGGGTGTCCACTTTAAACAAGTTGTAACCTGTTGGTAACCTGATTAATAGATTATATGGACACGTGTCATCATTTTATTGGTCTAAAAATATATATTTTTTAATGTTTTTAACTTTTTAAAATTATTATTATTATTTTTTTTAAAAAAAACCACCCATCCCATCCTCCTCCCCCTCCCCATGACCCAGCCACCACATCTCCCACCTTCCAGCCACCTCCCCTTCCCCTCCCCCACACGCAACGACTCCACCGACGACGGTACGGCCGGCGCCGAGCTCCACCACCATTGGTCGTACCACCCCTTTCCCCTTACCCCGACTTCGCTTGCCTCTGTATTCGAGCCGTACTGACAACCCACCCACCACCATTGAGACTGAAAAATTTTAAAAGCTTGAAGAGACAACAATGGAGGAAACTCCATTAAAGCTCAAGTATAAGCTTGAGGACAAAATGGAAACATGCCCATTTCTTCACCAAAACGCATAAAATTGGTATCAAAACGCTCACATTACAATATACAATAGTTTGGTACCAAGAATTATGCAAGTAACATCACCAAATGAAAACCCCCACTTCGATTTTACTTAGGGTTCTTCACAAAAAAATTGCCCAATTCCTCCCCATCGGAATCGGCCCCCTTCCCCTTCCCCCACCCTGAATCGATCCCCCTCCCCTTCCCCCACCCAAAACAGCCACCCCTAACCCTTAAACACCAGCCCGACACCACCATAAACGAAACCCTAAATCTCGTTTAGGTTGGTTTCGGGCTGGTGGTTTAGGGTTAGAGGTACCGGTTTTTGGTGTTGTTGATGTGGGTGGCGGTGATGAGGGGTGGCTGGTTCAATCGATGGTGGGTGGGATTGGCGAAGGGACTGAATGTGGTGGTGTTGCTAATGGTGCTGCATGAGGCTGAATTGGTGGTGTTGAGTGTGTTTTTGGTGCTGACACTAGTAGAAAAAATGAAATAGGCACCGCACTTTTCGCACCGGTTCCTGAAAACCGGTGGTAAAAGAAATGGGCGGGATTGGGAAAAAGACTTTTCGCACCGGTTCTTATTAAACTGGTGCAAAAGTATCTTTTTCGCACCGGTTCAAACCAAACCGGTGCGAACTTAGTGTTTTAGCACCGGTGCGAAATTTTAAAAAAAATCGGCCTACTTCTCTTCTTCTTTCCCTATTTTACTCTCTTTCCCGTTCTTTTTTCATTTCCATTCTCTCTCTTCTCTCTCCTCATATGCTCTCCTCTCTCTCCTCAACCAAACCTTCAGCCGCAGCTGCAACCACAACTGCCGCCGTTCACAGATTCTTTCTCCCCTTTTCTTTTCGTGCTCTCTCCTCTAGCCTCCTTTTACCCTACCAATCGTTTTCTAGGGTTTATCGCCCTTGTTATACCTCTAAATCTCAATCTCATATCCAATCACCTCTCTCTAATTTCTAGGGTTTCGAATTACACTGATGCTGCAATAATTGGAGGCTGGAGTTGGTGGTGATTAAATTGATGTTGTTGAACACAAAGAGGCAAACTAATATCAGCAGGCTACACTTCTTCTTTCTCGAGGTTTCTTCATCTTGCTCGATGTTTCTTCATCTTGCTCGATCTTTCACTCTATGTTACTCTCCTAAGTAAAGTACTTATCGATTTTTTAATTTCTGTAATTTTGATCAATTTTTGTCGTTTACTAAAATATTAGGGTTTATTACTCTTATCTGGGTTTTCATTTCATTTTTTATCGGCCAATTTCTGAAGCATGCATGTCATTTTCTTTGTTATTCATATCATTTTTGATAATCTTGAAGCTGATTGATGGAAATGATTGATCTGGGTGTTTGTAATTCTTGTTAATTTTGTGATTTTCTAGTGTTACTTTGATAATTATGTGTTTCTTTGTGAAAATAGTTGGTAGAATTGCTTATTCTCTTTAGATATATGAAGATCTGTCGTGATCAGTTTTGTGGGTCTTTTTTATTGAATTAGTTTTGTGACCGATTTGAATTAGAGATCTATTCAATTAGTTATTTTATTTAAGTTCAGTGATTAGTGGGGCTCTTTATTTGTGCTTATGAATGTGTTAATTTTTCCTATTTTTGGTGTTTGGTATCAAGAAATCTGATTTAAATATGCTGGCTAGAGTCTTGTTTTAAATTGTTTATGAAATTGTCAGTTTTATTTATGGTTTGAATCAAATGAATTCTGATGTTTGATGTTCCGGTGAGTTGCATACATTTATGCTTAACCTAATGAATGCCGAAAGACTAATTTTTAAATTTAGGCTTTTATACGATGTCTTCTCTTTGTATATTGTTAGTGTATGAATGAATATATGTCATTATAATTGGAATTCGGAGCTATTATAGGTAATAAGTTGATATTGGATTGTGCAGCTTGCTAGAAATGAAGTTAATACCTGATCAAAGTTAAATTAAATTTGTGGAATGGATTTTTATTGCAATTCAATAAGCAAATAATTTTAATTGAAAAGGCTTAATTGAATCTAATTTGTTCAATGGGTGCAGATTGAAGGACTAGCTAAATTTTTGGCAAATCCAGATTCTGAAACCTAAGGATCCCCTAAAAGATCAGCGATTAACTCATCTGGTGAGTCAAAATTATGAGCAACTTACCCCTTGGATCTCTTGATAGCAGTTACAGTAGTATGTCACATGCTAAGCTTGAGCATAGTTTTGGCTCTATTAAGAAGTTGATTTATGTTGAATTTCAAAAATTTCAGTTCTACTCTAGCATTAATGACATTAGAAAACGGTTCTTCTCTAATCTCAGGGAACTTCCTTGGGAATCACAGTGTACAGCTATTCAAGATGTTTATACTTATTTAATTGACTATAATCCTTCTTATGCTTTTGTCTCTTCCGAGAATTTTCTGGATCCATTGGTTTTGTTCTTGGAAGATGCTCTTGTCAAGTGTGATAATGAAGCTCAAAAGGCTGGAATTAAAGTGCTTTCAACATATCTCCAAGCGAAGAGGTGATTTTCCTCATATTGATCTACACGTGTATCCTCCATTTTCTTCAAGAAGAGGTGATGCTCTTGTAGTTGTAGATACCTTTTCTATGTATTTAACTTGATTGTTACAAATGTACCTTTTTAGATGTTTTTCAGATGAAATTAAAATAATGATATTTTTACTATCTTGAAGCTATTATTATAGAATAAATGTGCAATGTTCTGATATATCGTAATAGTTGGTACATGACCTTCAACTGTTTGCTCATATTATGGTGCTAAGAACTCATGCAACTGAAAAGCCTCACAGTAGTAACATCTATAATTTTAAGATACTGGAAAATTAAGCTTGCCTTTGCTTTCAATTTATATTTAATTTAAGATGTAATTTCTAGTGCTGCTGATGGTGATCTAAAAAACTACGTTACCTGATAGAAATTTCAACTCATGGCATGTGTTTATGGTTTAGATTTTTGGGGTTATTTCTTTGGCTATCTTGTCATTATTCGTGTCTAAACTTCTATTGCTGAACTTATTCCTTTGCTCTTTCAATTCCGTACTTCTAGTTTAAAGGATACCTCAAGGACTCGAGTAACATATTCTTCAGTCTGGGATTTGTTTTTAATCACAATTAAAGTGCCATTCATCTGTTCTTGACTTATAGAAGTTCAATAACAACCAGGTTTTCTTCTTTAGGCATGTGTTATTGCAGAGTTATCTCAAATTACAAAAATCTCTTGGCTAATTTATTGTCTTGATCCAATGTTTTTAATTTATTTTCCCTTTAAAAGGAACTGGATAAAATAAGTTGTGGATTTGGAGACCTTAGCTTAGCTTTGACGTAAATTACACAAAGGCTAAGCTAACTTAACCTCTTGGGTTGTTGACTGCCCAACTTAGTGGTTTTATAGTAATGTTCATTTATCTTGCCTTTGTATGTGGACTAGTGGGTTTATGATGTGCTTGACGTTTATTTTGTGACCAAATGATGCTTCATACTGGTTCTAGTAGAATGTAAGGACTATAACTTTTATTAATTATCTATCTTTAAACTCATATTCCCCATTTATTGGTTTTGAGATGTATTTTGTTATGTTTCACATAAATACTTGAAATTTGAAGAGTCTGCAGGTTTATTTCAGGTTGGAAATGTTGTAAATAATGTTATCAGTAGAGCCACAAGTAATTGCCCCTGGATTGGGGAACTCTGGGTGAGGCAGTTGCTTTGCTTGGAACGAGCTCACGCTTCAGAGGATGAAATTTCCCTGGTATGGATGTAAGATATGGTGTAATTCTCATTTGAACGGTTTTGGTTGAGAAATTTGCTAGCTTGTTTGTTGTCAAATGCTTGTAAAGTGTAAATAATTAATTCAGTGATGTTGGATCTGAAGAGTTATGTCAATACTAACACACTTCTTCTTGCTACAGCTTCCTACAAATCCGAAAAAAAAAAAAAAAAAAAAAGCTTAGTGGTTGTTGACTGCAGCATAGTGGGTTTATAGTAATGTTCATTTATCAAGATATGTTTCATCTTTCAGTAGATTTGACTAAATTGGCCTGCCTACCCATATTTATTTTAGATTTATAGCCTACATTCTATTATTTAGAATGCTTAAAAAGCTTCATGATGATCTGTACCTGGGATGATTATTCTTAGACTTTCTTCTCCATGGAAAACTGAATTATCCTAGTCACAATTTTTCCCACTTTCTTGGTTGCTAGCCTTATCTGTGTCAACTTATTGAAGAATAATGAAGGTATTATCTTGACTTTAATATATGAAATATATAAGTTTAATCGTAGAGCAATTGGAAATGTGGAAATTATGCTCATCAAAAGTCATCTGCTGGTTCACAGTGCTGACATGGGTCGAGGTGTAATTGGTGTCATAAAAGTTACTAAAAGACCTTGTATTTTATTTTATTTTATTTTATTTGTGTGTAACCTTGTATTTTATTTTTTTGACGAAAATTGTAATATTACAGCCTATTTTAATGAAAATATGTAACTTTATATACATGTTAGTGTTTATATATCAATTTAAGTGAAAAATGCAAAAATATTTTTTTTTTATTTTTTATTTTTTTGGGGCATTTTTAGCACCAGTTTTGAAACAGAACCGGTGCTAAAAGTTTTTTTTTAAATATTTTTTGTCCACTTTAGGCACCGGTTCACAGCAAGAACTGGTGCTAAAAGTTTTTTTTTTTAATATTTTTGGGGTTTTTTTCGCGCCGGTTCACATTAAGAACCGGTGCGAAAAGTCTTGGGATTTGGCATCCCTCAAATCAGAACCGGTTCAAAACCGGTGCGAAATGGGGGTTTTGAACCGGTGCTGATTAGCAATTTTCGCCTAGTGTGAGGCTATTGGGATTGGTGGCGGTTTGGTACAACGGTGGAGATAGCAGATGTTGCTGGTAGTGGATGATTGTGAAGGAGGATGCTAGGTTTGGTTGTTGCTGTTGAGACAAGGTGGGTGGAGGTTAATAAATCATAAGAATTTTTTTAAAATATATTAATTTGTTAATAAATCATAATTAAAGTTGTTATTAAGAGTTAATTACATTGTTAAATGAATTTATTAAAAAGAAAAAAAAAATTTAACCGGTTATTCAGGTTGTAGGTAAAATAACTTGGTTAAAGCAGACACCCCCCAAAGGTGGCATTATTTAGAGATAATCAAAAGATCGACTTATTTTTAGCAGACGGGTGAAAGGTGGTATTATTTAATGCAATTTTTCCTTTAAATAAATGAAACGTTTTCCATTTACAACCGTGTTTTAATAAATAAAACATTTACTTTTTTTAGTAACTTCTCTCTATTTTTTAATAATATTCTCTCTATTTTTTTAATAATATTTTTATAAATGATAGTCCCTAAAAAAATCCACTACTTTTTTTTTTCTTTCTTCAAACTTATACCACACTACATATTATTTTAACAAATTCAACCAACCTTCCTAACTCCATGAAATCAAAACGTTTCATTTATTTAAATATTGAGTATTATTTTGGAACACCAATCTCTCTCTAACCTATCTTTTTTTTTTTTTTTTTTTTCATCTCATTAGATACATATACAGAATTGATATGATATATTATCTGGAAAAAAAAATAATAAATAAAAAAAATTCATGTGATACATAGAATTGTTATAACTTTGTCTACCTTTAGTAGATTACATATATATATAATAAGAAAGAAAAAATTGTCATGTAGGGTTATTTTTGAGTTGTACTAATGTGCATTTTCATTTTATATATACATTTTATAAAATTAGCTAGCTAGTATAAAACTAAACATATTAATTGACAAATATACATTGAAGGCCAAACAAAATACCGGCTGGAACATAGATCTTTAAGGATCATAAGGGTATCACTTCTATGGTTGAAATTTTAGGAAGTCTGTTAGGTGCAAATGTGAGTAGGGTTTGTCCCACATTGAAAAAGAAAGCAAAAGACTTTCAGTTTATAATCCAAGCGGATTACTCCTCTAATTGTTATTGGTTTTAGGATGGAACCTTGCTGTGGTTTCTGATTTGTGGGCTTCTAAGCTTTCCCCCATCTGTTATAGCAAACTATATACTCATACAATCATACCATATCCCCTCATTAGCTTTCGCTCTATCTTTTTTTTTTCTTCTCTTCTTGATTGTGCAATATCTCCTTCATCATTAGTACAATAGCACAATAAATATAAGGGTTTTTCTAGAAAGGTTAACCCATCTTCGAGAGGACTTTACAAAAATTCAATGATACATCCATCGTTCATATGTATTTCTGGATAAATTTCTTTTTCATCATATCGACTTATACTTCCATTAAAAAAATCAAGATACATGTATATCAACCCTCAAATCTTACAAAGTAGATCGTCAACCTAAGTTTCACTCATGATATAGGTTTATAGAGCACACACCACCGCACCCCAATCTAAAAACTTATTTACACTTACACCATACATCAAAACAAATACAAACTATTTAAAAATCTTATAATCTCTACTTTTATACACCTATTCAATCCACAAACATAATCTAATGACTACATTATTAGACGTCTTTCAGATTGTTGCAACCTTTGTTAAAAGCCACTAATAAATTCCAATAATTCCAATTTAGTTATGAATGTGCGATTACCACCTTAACACACAAAATTGTTGCAATAATATACATAGTTGTCATAGGGTGTTACTATTCATTTCATAGGCCCCTTACTACAATTATTTTCAAGTTCTTTGGCTAAGATACTGACAGATTAAGAGGAGAGAGAGAATTGAATGGCTTGTTCATTATTGATCAATAGGTAGAGTATTATATCACTAATATATAAAGCCGGTCTCTCATTCAGGCTACGAGACAGCGGCACTTGGTATTCCAGTTTTTCGCCAAGTGTCGCGCTATGTAGGCGATAAATAGTCATTAATGATACGTGTGATGCTAAGTAAGAGATTTTGGATAGATCTTTTAAGATAAAATTGTTGTATAGAGTTTTATTATCGATAGAATTCTAATATTTCACATATACAAAATTAATCTTAACATTTTATAAGTATCCTATAACCCAATTCTATTTCCATCATCAAACTTGTTTTAAAAAATTCTTTAAAATAAGATCCATTTATAATATATTTAATCACAAACTTTTATATATAGCTGATCAAACCGTGTCACCAACTATTTTAAGAGTTACTTCGTTGGTGCTATAAGGGTTACTTGGTTAGTGTTCTAGTGGTTGTTACTCAATCAGTGTTATAGATAGGGGTTACTTAGTCAGTGTTAGAGGTTACTCAGTTAGTATTACAGGGTTACTCAGTCAGTTTTATAGGAGTTACTTTGTCCGGCAAGATGGTGTGGCTAGCCGCATACAAAATGCATTGTTATTTAATTTACTTTTCCTTTCTTTTTTTATTGCACCATGAGGGATTTCACATTTGTCAATGCATTAATTTAACTATTAATATCTCCAATTATACTTTTGTAAAAATTGTAAAAAAAAATTGATATTTGAAAAGTAGATTTCGAGACGAATCTAACTAGATCCCACTTGATTATGTTTTTCCTAATGAACAAATCACAAATGATGGTAAAAAAAGATTAAGTGAATAGTGTAAAAGTCCTTATGGTGCAAGGGACTTGTTATTCATCGCCCACGTTTTTATACATAAAGCCCACATTTTCTAAAAATTTTGACATTCTTGCCCTTGTTTTAATTTTTACCGAAAACGAAATTTTCACTCACCAAAAATGTGGAGCAGCACTGGATCGCCGAGGGACACCGAAGAGCACTCATCGTCGGCTAGATGCACCAGAGAGCCGCCGTCGACACGGAAAAACGAGGTACGAAGCCGTTTAAAATCACGAAGTGGCGGCTGGCGTCCTACCAGGAAGCCACTGCCGTGGGTGGGGCGCCTGGCCAGGACGCCGCCACCATGGCGGTGGCGCCTGGCAGGGAAGCCAGTGCCATGGCAGTGGCGCCTTGCCAGGACGCCGCCACCGTGGCGGTGACGCCTAGCCAGGCGCCACTACCACGTTTTAATTTTATTTTTTTTATTCAATTTAAACTTTTGTTTATGTTTTTGATTTTTGTGTTTTACAATTTTTTTGTTTTGTTTTGTTTTTTTAATTTAATGTAAACTTTTGTTTATGTTTTTGATTTTTGTGTTTTGTGTTTTTTTTTTTTTGGTTTTTTTTTTAGTTTTTTTTTAATTTAATTTAAACTTTTGTTTATGTTTTTGATTTTTGTTTTTTTTTTTGGTTTTTTTTTTAATTTAATTTTAAGTTTTGTTTATGTTTTTTATTTTTGTTTTTTTTTTTATTTTATTTTTGTTTTTTTTTTTTTAATTTTGATAAATTTGGAATTAAATGTGGATAATAATTTATTTTTTTTAAAAAATAATATTTAATTTGAAATTATGTTTGAAAAATGTGTGAATAATTTAAAAAAAAAAAACAAAAATATGGTTTAGTTTGACATTTTGTTTTAATATGTGTTAATTATTTCTAAACATAAACAAATTTATGTTTTTATTTGTATGTGTGTGAATACTTTTTGTTTATGTTTTTCATTTCTTTGTTTGTTGTTTATATTTTATTATTGTTTTTGGTTATATTTTTTGCACTTTATATATTGTTTTGTTTATGTATATATTTTTTTGTCAAATTGGTTAATTTTTTTTATGTTTATATTTTTTTTCCGTTATTAGTATATTCTTTTATTTATTTATTTTGTATTTAATTTTTTGAAGTTCATATTGCACGTTTTAATAACCAAATGTATGTTTTAAATTGTATGTGTGTGAATACTTTTATATATAATTACGTGTTAGTTTTGTGTTAATTATGTGTAAATTTAGACGTTAAATGTATTATGCGTTAAGAGTGGAAATGATATTTAGAAATTTAAAGTTTAGAAATTACTTTTGTGCTAATTTTGTGTCAAATGTATTAATTTAATCTAATCTTATGTGATTATATTTATATGTTATTGTTGCAGGATTATTGTGGAGACGAAAATGATTATAGTGGGATTTTTGTACACGATGGTCTGTTCGAAGATGCTCAACAAGCGGTTGATTGGGCGAAATAAGTTGCAATTAGATCAGGTTTTTGTTTAGTAGTAGCAAGTCATAAATCTCAACGGGATGGTAGAATGGATCGCATTTTGAGATGCGACCGTTATCGCAAAAGGGAGGAACGAGATTTCAGTCAAGCGATTCGGTTTGATACAAAGCGGAAAGGTTGTGGGTGTCAGTTCAGAGTAAAGGTTCGACAACAGCAAAGGTGTGACGGTTGGGAAGTGAAGGGTTACGGTAAATGGGGGTATCACAACCATGAGATGATAGTATATGAAGTGGGTCATCGATAGTTAAGCGGTTAAGTCCTGCTGCGAAACTAGTTGTAAAAGAAATGAGTGATGCTCAAGTGAAGCCTGCTAAAATATTAGAATCTGTGTTGGAGAAATTTCCTGAAGACCAGCCAAACCGAAGACACATCTACAACGTCAGACAGAAATTAAGGTTTGAACGGTCAGAGGGAAGGAACCCTATACAGCAGCTTCTACACCAGGCACAAGCACGTGGTTACCTGTACTGGTTTGAATCTGATGAAGACACATCGGAGGTGACTCATTTGTTCCTTGTGCATCCTGATTGTGCTGATATGATTTTGTCTTGGCCATCTGTGATTCTGATCGATTCAACGTACAAGACAAACAAGTACAAGTTCCCACTGGTTGAGATGGTTGGGATGACTCCAACGAACCAGAACTTTTTGATTGGTTATGCAGTCATGAAGGATGAGACGGCTGCGAGTTACCGTTGGGTGTTGGAGAAGTTGAGAAATTACATCGGCCCAAATGTTCAGCCATCGGCCATCGTCAGCGATTGTGAGGGAGGTCTCTTTGCCCCTATAGCGGAGCTGTTTCCGGAGTCGAGCCATTTACTGTGCACATGGCACATCAACAACTGCGTGAAAGTCAAAGCCTACAACCTTTTCAACAAGAACTTAGATTCAGCAGAGAGATTGGTAAATGGTAAGTGGCGGAAGATCCTGCAAGCTACCACAGAGGCAGAGTACCACCGAGCCTTGGATAACTTTAAGGATGCGTACCAATGGTGCCCGACAATTGTAGACTATGTGATGCAGCAGTGGGTGCCTCAGAGGGAAAAGCTTGTCAAATATTGGACAAACCAAGTTCTTCATTTTGGAAACACTACCACATGTAGAGTTGAGAGCGCTCATAGAGCTCTGAAGGACTGGATTGGTTCTTCCACCTCTGCTCTGGATACACTGTTCGAGAGAATAAACAAGGCTATTGATACTCAGAAGAACGACATCAAGAACTCTCTCGAGGACTCCAGACGGCAACATGGCACGATGTATAGCCATTTCATATTTAAGATTCTCCATGGTCGTGTGTCACACTACTGCTTGGGGTTGATTCTGAGCGAGCACAACAGGATGAGGGAGTTGGGTGATGAAGTGGCTATTCGGTGCGGATGTGCTATATCGGTGACTCATGGACTACCTTGTGCATGCACCATTCACCGCGTAATTACGCAAGATAGGGCGTCGTTACATGTTGATCAGGTTCATCCATTCTGGCGGACGCTCGTTAACAAAACATTACAAAAAATTAACAACCTAATAAATAAAAAAATTAATAACCTAATAAATAAAAAAAACAAAAAATTTTGACAAAAAAAATGAAAAATACCCAAAAAAAAAAATACTAACAAATTGACATTAAAAAGAAAAGTACACAATATCGAAAAAAATAAATTAAAAGAATTGAAAATACACACAAAAACAAAAAAAAATAAAAAAAACATGCAATATAAACATATAATGATGCAATATAAACATGCAAAAAGTAATTAAAAATAAATAACAAAACATGCAATATAAACATACAAAAAAATAACAAAACATGCAATATAAATATACAATATAAACATAAAAAAAGTAATTAAAAAATAAATAAATAAAACTATATACAAATGATGGAAAATAAATTAAAAACATTACAAAAAATTAACACCCTAAAAATAAAAAAATTAATAACTTAATAAATAAAAAAAAAATTAAAAATACCCAAAAAAAAATTTGGAAAAAAAAATTAAAAAAAAACCGGAAAAACAAAAAAATAAAAATAAAAATAAAAAAAATAAAAAAATAAAAAAATTGGAAAAAAAAATTCAAAAAAAAATAAAAAAAAATAAAAGGAGGGTGGCGCCTGTCCCAGACGCCAGTGCCACGGTGGTGGCGCCTTACGTGGACGCCGCCACCGTGGCACCGGCGTCCTGCCCAGGCGCCGCCACCGTGGTGGTGGCGTCTGGGCTAGGCGCCGCCACCGTTCAACCACCTTTTCCGTTTTTTTTTTAATTAACAAAAAAAAAACATACCTTTCCACCTCGAAACCCCCTTGCTCCGGCCACCGGTGCCGCCTTGACATTTTTAAAAAATATTTTAGAGAGAGAAAGTGAGACTACAAAGTTAAGAGAAGATGAGAGTGTGTTTTTTACTAGAGTAGAGAGAAGATAAAGGTGTGTTTTTTAGTTTGAGGGCAAAAGGGTCATTTTACTTTTAATTTGTGGGCTTTATGTGAAGATTTGCGGGCGATATTTAGCAGTTCACAAAGAAAAACGGAGGAAGTATTTAAAAAATAATGGAGAATCAGTAAAAAATAATTTTTAATTTATAAAAATAATTTTATTTTGGTAAAAATACTTTAAGTTCAGTGAAAATAATTTAAGCTCAATATAAGTAATTTGAAGTCAATAATAACATATATATCTATTATTTACAAACAAAGCTACAAAAGTACACTATTATATAAATATAAGCCATATGATATCGTATGTCTAAATATCCTACATATCATAACGGATTATATGACCATATTTAACATTCAAGTAAAAATGTTATCTTAAAATTTTATTAACCATCTAAAAACTACTCTCATAACATAGGAAACAATCTCCCTAAAAGATATACTAGCCTAACCTTAAATCTTAAAGATATATTCTCTAAATAATATCTTAACATAAAATAAATCTAAGTATATTATTCTCTTAATGAAATCTACGGAAAATATATCACACATATTTTCCGATATTTCATATCTCTAGTAGATACCTAAAGTTCTTCTCCTTTTTATATTATATTTATTTTTTCCGTTTGATATAAACGTTACATGAAATAAATTAGTTTCGTCTAAAAGTATGAAAACGATTAAAGCATCTTTTTTCATGGAAAAAAAAGCTTTAGGTCCTCTCAATACTTTAATAATGCTTAAACTCTGTTTGGCTGCATTTGTGAGATTTTTTAAATTTTTTTATTTGATTTTTTATTTTTTGGTGCGAAATTGTGGTTTATTTTTGGACACGATGCAACTTCTTTTATCTTGCTAGGTTTTATTAGAGAGCAAAAGCCTAAATATATGTTATTTACTACTGTTACTATGTCACATTCTCTATTTCTCTTTTTATTACTTGCAGTAGAAATGTTGACTTTAATAAAAGTTTTGTCATGGTACTTTGGTAGGTTACTAATTTAAACTTTTTCTCTTTCAATTATTTCAATAAAAAAATATTTCATCATGTGTTTCTCAACAATCATATATGTCGGTTATTAATAGAGCTCGAGGTTAATCAATAATGCACTGTCTACTTATTTATTTTTTGGGTAAAAAGAGATCAGAGTTCTTAAGAACGAATGATTTACACAGAATTTAATTCCAAGTATTCAATATTAACCCGGCCCTCAAGACTTGAACCAACTAATTTTTATTTAGGAAATCAAACCAACTATAATACTTGATTATACACCTACATGCTTACTTTAATGGTCATGCATGTAGCTCAAGCTACACAATTTTTGATCATGTTACATGAAAATATATTTAGTCCGAACCTTAATTATTATTGCTAGCCCAATTCATCTTACAAAGTACCTACTCCGGCTGTATATAAATGTTTTGTATTTCTATACCATTTTAAGTAATATATAGATGGTTATAGAAATTAATGGTCAAAGTTATCGTTTTTATTACGTGTGAGATTTTATAATTAATAAAGAAAAACAATTGGCTAGATTTTTCAGGCAGACTGTTAAATTTGAGCAGTAAGTTCAATTCAGATGAATTATCTTAAATAACATAATTTTAGCTAAGCTATGTACAAGTAGTTTTCTATTTCTTTGTAAAAAAAAAAAAATAAAAAAAAAAATTAGTTTTCTATTTCAAATTTATTGACGGGAAATCAAACAGACAAACAAGAGAAATCTTTAAAAAAAAAATCTTGGTAGTAGTACGGTTTGTGCTTTAGAATCTTTCTAGGTCTATTGTAGATGTTGTACTAGTCTATTGGCCCAAAGGAACCCATCTTTTGGTAAAGTTGCATTTGAAGTTTGAAAGTTATGTATTCATATTTTCACTTTGGCTCCCCACTTATATGTTCCAAGTAGTAATAGAAGTCTTCTAAGTAACTAAGGCCCTGTTCTTAGGCCCTGTTCTTTTGAGTTGTTCTGCTTTACTCTGTTAACCTGCTCTACTCTGCTGAAATCTGCTCTACTCTGCTCTATTCTGCTTAGATCTGCTAAACTCTACTCTACTCTGCTTAAAAATAATAATTAATAATAATAATAATAATTAACATTTAAAGATAATAATAATAATAATAATAATAATTAATATTTAATAATAATAGTTAATAATAATAAAACAAATATTATTTATTATTAATAATAATAATTAGTATTTAATAATAATAATAATAATAATTATATATATATATATATATATATATATATATATATTTTTTTTGTGTTGGTTTTTTGTGTTGGTAAGTAAGAAATTTCATTACCAACAAGGAGGAGGGCAAACCCTCATACAACACACCAACAAGGCAAAGCCAAAAACACAGCTAGCCAAACAACACCTACAAACTACAACACCCCAAACAAAACGGGATAAACAAACACCTAAACAACACTACATTGTACACTTAAGGTTTTGTAACCATTTACATTCTTTCCTAGACCATATATGAGAGATTAGCTGTTGTAATCTACCACAAATTTCCTGCTTGATAGTTCGCGCCACTATACTAGGCAACATAATAGCTCTCTGCCAAAGCGCATGATTCCTAGTCACCCAAATGTGGTAAGTTACAGCAGCAAGCACTGCAAGGATTGCTTGTTGCTGCACTTTAGAAGTCATAACCCTTCTCCAATTTTCCAAGCCACCTCAATTCCAACCTAAGCCATCTAAACATACATCCAGCCAAGCACATATCTCTTTTATACATTTTAAATTGTAAGGGCAAGTATAGAACAAGTGGTCTTTAGTTTCAGGCTCCTCCCCACACAGTAAGCACAAATCACTGTCACAGACACCATAGCTGCACAGTTTAGTCCAGGTTCTTAGTCGTTTTTGAATTACTAACCAACATATCAGGAATGCTTTGGAATATTAAACCTATTCCATACCCAGCTAGTCCAAGGCTGCTTATCACCAGATCCCTGAAGCTACTTATAACAGGTAGCAATTTTATCTTGCTATTCATCCACCTATTATCAGTAAACCCTTGCTTTAGATCATCCCTTACTTTACAGAGCATTTTCCAGCCCCAACTATCCCTCATTTTAGGAACCAGATCCCAGAAATCTTGCTCCTTAATGTATACACTATGAACCCACTTGACCCAAAGTGAGTCCATTTTCCTTACAATTTTCCAAACATATCCACCAAGAGCAGCCTTATTCCACTTAATGTAGTCTCAAATGCCTAAGCCTCCCTGATTCTTAGGTTTGCAGACCCAATCCCAAGCAATGTGGGGGGGGGGGGGATTTATCAGCTGCACCATCCCAAAGAAAGGCTCTGCAAACTTGCACAATTCATTGCATCACATTAAGTGTGCAGAACCTAGGCCCAATATGTGTGCAGGCTCATAAGAATTGAATTCACCAACAAATCTCTTGTAGTATAATAAAGATGCCTGCTGCTCCAGCAATGAATCTTATGAAGAATTTTATCAATCAAAACATCATAATCTGAAAATTTGAGCTTTCTAGTATCCAATGGAATACCAAGATATCTAAACGGAGTAATACCTTGCACAAACCAAGAAAACTCCAGGATTCCTTGCTGAATAGTCTTTGGAACACAGCCAAAGTAAACATCTGTCTTTTTAGAATTTGCTTGTAAACCTGAACAATGTTCAAAGGCTTTGAGAGCTTGGATTAAAAGAGAAATATACTTCTTATTCCCATAGGCAAATAGCATTAAATCATCTGCATACATTAAGTGATTCAAAGAAAGCCCAAAACATCTATGATGAAATCTGAACTGCCTCTTTTTACCCACTTTTTTGTGCAATCTTGAAAGGTACTCCTTAACAATTACAAAAAGCAGTGGGGATAAGGGGTCTCCCTACCTAATACCTATCTTCCCTTTAAAGTATCCATGCAGCCCACCATTCAATATTAAAGAAAATGAAGGAGTCATCACACATTGCATCACCCACCCAATAAAAACCTCAGGAAAGTTTAGAGCTCTTAGCATTTCAGCAATGAAATCCCAACTTATAGAGTCATAAGCCTTTCTAAGGTCCACCTTTATAGTACACCTTGGTGGCCTCCCCTTACAGTTATACTCCTTAAGCATATCTTGGAAGATCAAGATATTATCAATGATAGATCTTCCACTCACAAACAGACCTTGATTTTCACTGATCAATCCAGGTAACTCTTCTTTTAACCTAGCACAGAGCATCTTTGAAATGATTTTGTATAGGACATTGCAACAAGCTATAGGTCAAAATTGGGTAACTTTGTCAGCATTTTCAACTTGGGGAACAAGAGACAAAGTAGTATTGTTGACTTGCTTAAGCATACTCCCACTTCTGAAAAAATCAAGCACAACAGCAGCAACATCGTTCCTAACCACACCCCAGCAAGCTTTGTAGAACTTGCTCGAAAAACCATCCGGTGTTGGGGCTTTGTCATCCTGAACACTCCAAATAGCATTCTTTACATCATCACTAGAGATGGTCTAGAAATATCCAACCCAGCTTCACCAAATAACACTTGCCCTTCTTAAATAACTTCTAGATGCACCTTGCTAGTAGCTGCAGAATGAGACCCCAGCAGATTAGTATAAAAATCAATAAAAGCAAAGTTTATAACATCTGGATCACTATGCAACACCCCTGCATTGTCCATAATTGAATACACATTATTTTGAACTCTTCTCTTTTTTAAACTTGCATGAAAGAAAGCAGTATTAAAATCTCCATCCTTAAGCCAATGCAACTTTGCCTTCTACTTCAGGAATTCGAATCCAGCAGTGTCATCAGCTTTTCTTGCCTCTATTTCCAACTTTATCAAATCGAGACTTCCAGGCTCATCATTTACCTGACCCTGTATTTCCACCAATTTTTTATGAGCTTCAGCATCATCCACCTCTACATCTGTAAAATGAGTCAGGTTTAAATCCTTTAAAGCTTGCTTGACACTCTTTAGCTTCTTCACCACTTTAAATATCTCTGTACCATGAACATCACTCGACTTAGCTTCTTGCACAGAGCTAAAAAACTCAGGAGAGTCAATCCACATATTATAAAACCTAAAAGGCTTTCTGGAACTTCTCACCATTGAAGCAAAATTAATGACACATGGAGAATGATCCATGTCTCCTTCTGCATAAAATTTGGCTTGTACATCTAGGAATGAGTCCTGCCATACACTATTCACAGCCACCCTATCAATCCGAGAACACACTCTACTAACACCATCTTGCTTATTATTCCAAGTGAAAAAAAGCCCTTCAGTCTTCCAATCCATCAGGTTACAATCCTTAAGACATTCTCTGAACTGCTCCAGCTCCACCAAAGTCACTGGTGAACCAACCCTATCACCAAGATTTAACACATTATTGAAATCTCCTCCTATCATCCAAGGCCCATGAATATTTCTACTGATACTTATGAGGTCATCCCATAACTCCATTCTTTGACTAGCCTCATTTAAACCATACACAATTGTATAATCAAAAGAGCACCCAGAAGCAATATGCCTTGCTACCAAGTGGATCAATTGACCTTCCACTCTTCTAACATCAACATGAAACACCCCAGGCATCCATATAACCCAAATTCTCCCTCCCCTATGCTTCGAGTAATTAGTGATAACACTCCAATCACCCCCAAACTTGGGAAAAACACCAGCAAATTTTCTAGCCTTCACTCTAGTTTCAAGAAGCCCAAAAAGACCAATGTTATGTTGTTTGATGAAGCAAAGTACATCACACACCCTACTAGTCTTATTTAGGCCTCTAACATTCCAAAATCCCCACTTATTCATGAGAAGTAACAAATTCCCTCCCCACCCTCATCCATCCCATTACCATCCCCACCCAAACCAGGATCAACATCTTCAGAGCTTATCCCAACCTTTTGAACCCCCACATTACTCCTTCTCTTCTCAATTACAGCTCCCTCTTTCCTTGAGTTCCCTTGACCAGTATCCACCCCTAAAATCTGCTGGCAATCATTAACCTTCTTCTAAATAGGTCTCCATACCTTTATCTGACCATGGTAACTCTTTTTTCCTTGTTCTCTAGCCAACACTTTATGATTAGGACACTGTTCATGCTTATGACCCATACTCTTGCACATGGTACAAATCACAAGCCTCCACTCATACACCACCTTTTGAACAATAATTAATATTTAATAATAATAACTAATATTTAAAGATAATAATAATAATAATAATTAATATTAAATAATAATAATAATAATAATAATAATAATAATAATAATAATAGTCTCCTGTTTAGGCATTAGGTTTGGGGTGCGGGGGTCGTTGGTTTCTTGTGTCAGTTTCCGACAGGGAGTTTGTTCTCCGGTATTCCGCACGATTTCGGCAGAGGTTTCGTTTTGCAGCAGCAGCTAGTCCAAGCGGTGCAAGGGTGGGTTCAGTCTCAAGTTCAGGTTAAGGCTCTGTTTCACGGGTTCCTCAATATCGCGGGTAGGAGGGGGTTGGCCGGCGGTAAGGCAGGGTGTTTCAAGAGGCGATCAGGCAGCGTTCAGGCGGTATTTTCCGGTGTCTTTTCCGGTTGTTTGGTTCCTGGTTTCCTATCTCACGTCCGGCTGGATTCCAGCGATCAGGTTTCTCTTTTTCGCGTTGCTCTGTTTTTTCTGTATTGATCAGTCTTCGGTGCTTTGTTCTTTTTTTGCGTCTGTTTTGCTGCGTTGCTTTATATTAGTGTGTTCCTCTGTGTTCCTGCATTCTGGGTTTCTACGTTGTTTTGGTTGTCTTGTTTTTTCCGGTGCGGCTCGTTCTTGGCTAGTGGTGGGTGTTTGTGCTCTTTGTTTGTGGTAGTTTGTGTCATTAGATTGTTGGTGTTTGTTGGAGTACTTGTTTTCAGCTTTGTGGTTGGTTGTGTATAGCTATTTCAGCTGTCGTTATGAAGTTTCATTGTCCCTTTTGTGGGTCTTAGTGGTTGTCAAGATGGAAGTGGCAATGGCCTTACTAGAAGTTCTCTTATCAAGCATCTTTGTGATCGTCATTGTTGTATTGGTGCACGGGATATCACTCGGCATTCTCTTACTTCTAATTTGGCTGTTTATAGTAAGGCTGAAGTTGCTTTTTCGCGTATGGGGATTTGGTTATGTGGAGTTTGCTACAAAACGCATATGCATCATAGTAAGTGTTGTCATAATACGGGTGAGATTGTGTCACCCCCGGATGAAGGAGATGGTATTGTTCATTTTGTGCTTCATGGTTTCTCCAAACCGCAAACTACCTCTTCTCCAGCTCGGCTTGGACACATGGGTGGTTGGTGCAAGGTCAACATTGTGGTTTTGATGTGGCTCTTCTTGATTGTTTGTTCTCTAACGGGTTTCGTACTATGCAGTCTATCCCTACCAAGTGTCGTTTGGGGTTTTCTCGGGTTCTGAAAGGTGCTCTTGATAAGGTGATCTCTAAACCTGATGACATTTTTAGTTGGGTCTCTTTGTTGGTGTTACCTCTTTGCACCCTTAAAACCTTTCGCCCTCGGAGCAGCTCTGATTCTAGGTTTCCGGTGAACATCGGCATCAAGAAGAGAGTATTTTTCATGCTATTTGTTCTTGGAGTGCACCAGGTGATAATTTGCAGCTTATGAGGGATACTTTAGTAGAGGTTTCTCCTACTTTGTCAGTGGTTGATGATGAGGACCTTGATTTGGAGGAGTGTAATATTAAGCAGTGTCGTAGGAAGATTTGTGATGGTCATTACACTGCTGCAGTCCGGGTTCTTTCTTCTTCAAGCGTTACTCCTTATAATGAGGCCACTCTCACGGATTTACGATCTAAATACCCTACTTCTCCAGCTCCATCCTTGCCTGATATACTTGTTGATCACCTTCATCTCGTTACTACTTTTGTTATTATTTTGGATCGGGGATTAAGAGTTTTCCACGTGGCACATCATGTGGTAGGGACGGTTTACGTGCTCGGCACCTTATGGATTGCTTGAGTGGTGCTTCTGTGGCTGTATCAGATGAGCTAGTTGACTCTATTTTCGGGGTGGTTAATCTCTTTCTAGCTAGAAGATGTCCTATGGAACTAGGAGAGTATATTGCTAGTGCTTCTCTTACACCATTTGTTAAGCCTGGTGGTGGTATTCGTCCTATAGCTGTGGGTACTGTTTCGCGGGCGTCTGGTTTCGAAGGTGGGTGCTATTATGGTTGGTCAATCTTTAGGAAGTTACTTTGATGGTCTTCAATTTGGTGTTGGGGTTTCTTCAGGTGGTGAGGTAATTCTTCATGCTGTGAATCGATTGATTGAGGACTGTGGTTCTGATGTTGGTCTTTCTATGTTGTTGCTCGATTTTCAAAATGCCTTCAATCTAGTTTATCGTACATTCATGTTAGGTGAAGTTCGTCATCATCGTCCGGGCATTTCGTGATGGGTTGAATTCTGCTGTTCTAATCCAACCAGATTGTATTATGGGGACCACACCTTATGGTCGTCTCAGGGGGTGTAGTAGGGTGATCCCCTTGGTCCTCTATTTTTTGCTTTGGTTTTACAACCCCTGGTATGTAAAATCAGATACACTATTGATGTATGTCTTCAGGCTTGATATTTGGATGACGACACTGTTATTGGTGACACGTTGGTGGTGGGGAAGATTCTACAGTTGATTATGGAGGAAGGGCCTCGTTTTGGGTCACATCTTAACGTGGAAAAAACTAAAATTTTCTGGCCGCAGAATACCCTCGAAGCAAGCTTGTGGATGTCTTTTCACCTAATATTGCTCGACCATTGCGTGGTGTTAAGTTGCTTGGTGGTCTCGCTAGTTCCGATTCCGATTTTAGTGGTGAGCATGTGATGCAGAGGGTGACCAAGACCATTGCGCTTATGGATAAGGTTGCTATGCTTGATCACTACTAGAAAATAGGCTAATTCCGACGGACTGGTTTCGACGGACACAAAATTCCGTCGGAAAAAGAGAAATTTTCGACGAATTTATGTTCCGTCTGAATTTTCCGACGAATTCAGCAAATCCGTCGGAAAATTCCGACGGAATTTTACTCCGTCGGAATATATGTGCTTTCCGATGGAAATTTCCGTCGGACTTTACAATTTCCGACGGAAATATTGTCCGTCGGAAAATTCCGACAGAAATTTTCTATCGGAATTTAATTAAAAAAAAATCTTTTAAAACCCTAAGATCTGGACTCTATTTCTTCTCTCCGCCTCTTTCCTTCTCTTTCTCTCTCCTTTTTCCCCTTTCTCTTTCTCTCTCCACTTCTCTTTCCCTCACCGCCTCTTCCCTCTTCTTTCTCTCTCCTTTTTCCCCTTACTTTTTCCCTCACTGCCTCTTCTCTTTCCCTTTTCACTTTATCTCTCCTCTTCTCTTTCCCCCCTCTCCTCTCAACAACATCAACAACCACAACCGCAACAACCACCACGCTTCGCATCACCTCTTTCCACCAGCCACGCGTCACCTCCAGCCACGCGTCACCTTCAACACCAGCCGCTACTCAACAACAACTTCAACAACCAGCCGCCGCGTCAAGCACCGTAGAAGGCCGAAAATATAGGTTAAATATTGGTTAGTTTGTAGATCTAGATTTATTTTTCACAAAATTTATGATTATAATTATTTTTTTGATGAAATTGTAATGTAAGTTTATAAATTTTGTAATGTAAGTTTGTACATCTGGTTTTTTGGATTTTTGGACTATGTAATGTATAAATTGTTTTTTTCGATTTTTTTGGTTTTTGTTTTGATTTGGTTTTTACGATTTAAGTGTTCTGGATTTTTTCGTTTTTTTCGATTTGGTTTATTGTGGTGGTGGTGGGAAGGGGTAGGTAGATCTGGGTTGTGGGGGTGGCGAGGTGAAAATACGGGTTAGGGGGCGAGGTGAATCTGGGTGATTTGGGTTAGTTTCGGTTAGGGTTCGGTGGTTGTGGTTGGTGAATCTGAGCTAGGTGGCTAGTTTGGCTGATTTGGGTTAGTTTTTGTTAGGGTTTGGTGGTGGTGGTGGTGTTCTGAGGTGGTGATACGCCGCGCCAGTGGTGGCATGGCGTTTTTTTTTTTTTAATTTCTAAAAATCAATTTCCGACGGAACAGTATCCGTCGGAAATTTCCGACGGATTTTTCCGGTGCCGGAATTTCTCTTTAGACGAAACAATTCCGACGGAATTTCCACCGGAAAAGTGTTTCCGACGGAATTTCCGTCGAAAAGGTCATTTTTCCTACGAACGATTTTCCGACAACCAGTTCCGACGGAATTTTCGTCGGAAACGTTTTTTCCGACGGAATTCCGGTGTGATTCCGACAGAGTTTTTCCGTCGAAAATGACCTGTTTTCTAGTAGTGGATGATTCTCAATGTGAGCTGTTGTTACTTAGGGCATGTACCGGAGTTTCCAAACTCTACTTTGCATTGCGTACTTGTCCTCCTAGTACTTTTGAGGCGGCTCAGCGCACATTCGACGAGGCTCTTCGATCTTCCTTGGAGCGTATTGTTACTGCTCCGGGGGCCTAGGTTTGGCGATTAGCAGTGGCGGCTTGCCACCTTACCACTTGCGTTTGGAGTGCTTAGTGTTTATTCCGCAGGTGATGTTCGTCATTATGTATTTTCTTGCTTCTCGGTTACAGTCTGTTGAGTTGTAGACAAAGCTTTTACGGCATGCTTGCATTGTTGGTATTGGACGAGCCTTTGAAGATGCATTGAGTCTGTTTAATGGAACGGTGGAGTCTGACATTATGAGTAATCCTAGTAAGGTCGCTATCCCTAAACTCATGAAGAAATTGGCAGATATATATTTCACAAAGGTTACTACTTCTGCAGAATCTGCTTATTCGT